TTGTGAATATATACACAAAAGATGTGGAATAGGTGGCGCTGTATAGTTTAAACGTATAAGTTGAAAAGTGGATATAAGCTGCTGCATACACTCTATGGGTACTCCTTAAAACCCACCACACATAGATAATCACCAAAGAAACAATAAAAACTTTAGGCTTAACCAGTGTTTCCACCTTCTAAACCTTTAGTTTTTAAGAGTGCAGTGCTGTGAGTTAAGTGTGTTTTCCAAAATATTCAGAAACACTTACCCTTTTTCCTTTTCCTTAGTGTAATATATATATAGAAAAAACTGAAAAAAATCTATAAAAATAATTGTGCAGTATATTAAGTGATATGACAAGAAGTGAGTTGCAAATGTGTATAAACTAACATTTTTTAGAGCCTTTTCAAGTTTTTAGGCTCTAAACTTCCAAGCGTCTGTGTCTTTTTGGGTAGATCACACGACCCCTCTCTCCAGGAAAAGTGTGTATGTTCCTCTCCACAAAGTATGTAAAATACACAGATATTTCAAACTAAGTGTAGCATCTTAGATAGTAATTCTATCCATATGAATAAAATTAAAATGCTCACCTTGTTTAGAGCCTTTTGATAAATGGCTCTAAGTATGTAAACCTAGTGTCAATTTGTGGGGTGACACTGCCCCTTCCCTGGAATCACTTGTGCAGGATACAGCTGAATAGATAAAAATGGGAAAATTCATTGCAGAATATATATATATATATATATATATATATATATAAATACTATAAAAATATACTTCTAGAAAATAAAAAACAAATATATATAAAAACAGTACAATGCGGAGACGGTCGCATCCTCTGCAAGCTTCGAGCCGCCGGCTGATTAAACGGCGAATGTACCTACCCACTGGGCACACACAAAGCCCAAAACGAGCTCCACTGGGTCCTGGGAACATGGGGCGCCGCTCCAAAAAGCAGCGAGCGGATCCTGGAATCGGCTGCCGAGATATAGGCAATTTATTCAAACAGTCGCAGTACCCCGTGCAGCCCAAGATGGCGCCGACCGCGGCCTACTCCACGGCTTCGTCGGAAGCTGAGAACACACCAGAGGAGGATTTCTCTGCCATGATACCAGCCACGATGAACACACAATCCCGGTATGTGGGACTTGGGGACGCTGCGCCTTCAACCAAGGCAGATATTAAAGCCTTATTGCAGGACCTCAAGGCCATGTTTCAAGCTGACATAGCAGTGGTAAGAGAAGATGTCGTTAAGCTGACCGGCCGTGTCCAGGCAGTGGAAGGAGAACTAGGAGGTACACATCTGGCACAATCAGCCACAGAGGCTACGCTCCATACCCTACAAAAGAAATGTGGCGGAATGAGCCAGCGACTGGCAGGTCTGGAAGACAGGGCTAAAGCCCGCAATATAAGGATACGAGGCATACCTGAATCCACCTCACCAGATGAACTGCCTCACTACATAAGGCGATTGCTAGCCACACTGCTAACACCTAAGCAAGCCAAGCAAGCTGTAATTGACAGATGCCATCGATTGCCCAAGGCAGCCAAGGCACCCCCAGAGGCACCCAGGGATGTGCTGCTGCAATTTCAGAGGGACTCTGACAAGTCCGCAGTCCTGGGAACCACAAGAGTATCTCCCTCACTGGCTTTTGAAGGCTCGTAGCTGTCCTTCTACAAGGACCTCTCAAGAGCAACCATGCAATGGAGGCAGTCACTCCGCTCCGCTACAAAGCTGCTGAGGGAGGCTGACATCCCGTACAGATGGGGCCCACACCACCTAGTGGCAGAGAAAAATGGCAAGAAGTTCCCACTCTCGCAACTCCAAGATGCACCTGCCTTCCTCCAAGCACTGGGAGTTTCAGCAGAAGCCCTATCACCACGGGACAGAAGAACACGGGCAGTAGAAGACATCCCTCCATTTGTCCCACGATATGCACTGGCGGGGTCGGCGGACCCCCCAGCTTGACACCGACTGAACTATTTGTTTCCTGCATGTCATAATTGACAGCTATATAATTTCTTACTCCTGAAGTTTTATATGTTACTAAGATCTGTTATTATTTCTCTGGCTCCGTAGGCAACCTTGCTAAGCCGTAGTACCACCAAAAGTACTCCCCCACCCCCCATTTTTACCCCTATTAATGCCTCAATGCCACGTTGGCACCTGCCTCTGTTTAAGCGCATGGCGCACACATAGCACAACACAATTCCTCACGATACAACCTAACAACACATAGCGCCCTGGAAGCAGAGGATGCAATGTATATTTCTAGGGGTATTTTCCTCTTATTCTCTATTTTATCTATATTTTCAAGTTGACAGTTAAAAATTGTTACATCACAAAAAACCCACGTCGCATATGTCAACCCGATGCTAAGTGGCTACGCACTAATGGTTGCTATTATACTCTACAACCTGCTTAAACTGTTTCCACTGCTTATGGCGCTGTAATGCAATCTAAACTTTGT